GGCCTGCAGGGGAGTGAAATTGGAATTAAATTCGATTGGAAAGAATTAAAGGTGGACCCAAAGCCGTGGTAAAGCGCGGTGAGCCGTGGTACGGCTCTGCTCCCAGGGAACGAGAGATAGGGCAAGAGGAAACGGCCTCAAGTTGCCCCAGGGGAGGTTGAGGTTGGAGCTAAGGAACAATTTCTTGCCCTGGAGGGTTGCCCAGGGCTGTGCCAGGCTGCCCAGGGCAGTGGTGGAGTCCCAACCCCTGGAGGGGTTCTCAAGCCGTGGAGATGTGGGGTGAGGGACAGGTCAATGTCCCTTGGCCATTCCAGGCTCACTCAATGATCTTAAAGGTCTCTTTTGACCCAAACCATCCTGTGGCTGGAAGCAAAACATCTCCCCAGACATATTGCTGATCCCACCACCCTTTCTCCCTGGGACCGTTTCTTCTCTCACTGCCATGTCCTCCAACAAAACCCTCAGTGATTTCACTGACAGGTCGTGCCACCAAGAAGCACAAAAAGGACACAGACCTGACGGAAGGGCAGAGACAAGGGGGGTGAGGGGGTGAGGAAGCTGCACGTGAGCCAAGGGTGTTTATTAGAGCTGTGGACTGAGGTGAAACAAACGCTCCGGGGAACACTGTGCTGAGGAGAGGCGGTGCCAAGCACAGGGGGCACAAATCCTGCTCCCCGTAGGGCCACAGGGACCTGTCAGGAACCAGGGGACTGCTGAATGCTCCCGCAGGTTGTCCTCTCAAAGCAGAGCTGTAGTCACAGGCCTGTCTGTTTGGTATTTCAGATGATTTTTTGCTCGTGGTGTGATGAGATGTGGCAGAGCTGCTGTCCCAGCACTTCCCCACCGCTGGTGCTGGTACCAGGGAGGAACCGCTGGCCGTGGGTTTCAGAAATGAGCAGTTTGGGGAGAGGAGATGCTTTGAGACCCTCTCCTGTTCAGAACACATCTCTAACGTTTTGATAACTGAGAAACGGCCAAACTCTTGTCAGCAGTGCCCAGAGAGGGCTCAAACTGGAACCCAGGAGGTGCCACCTGAGCAGGAGGAGAAACTTCTCTGCTGGGAGGGTGCAGAGCCTGGAGCAGCTGCCCAGAGAGGCTGTGGAGTCTCCTGCTCTGGAGAGATCCCAAACCCTCCTGGCTGTGACCCTGGGCACCCTGCTGGGGGTGAGCTGCTGGAGCAGGGGGGTGGAGGAGATGATCCCCAGAGGTCTCTCCCAACCCCACCACGCTGGGTTCCTGTGGCATGCAGGCAACCAAACCCAGTAGCCATTTTTGGAAGTCCCCATTGCAGCTGCTGGGCTTTCAGGGGGTCATTGGTCCCTCGGCTGTGCCACACTCCCCCCACGGAGCTGCCCCATCCCCTGCTGTGGGCACCACACCGAGGTCTCAGCCTGGAGCTTTACAGCTTCTGCTTTCAACTGGAGCTCCCCTCGTGGAGCTGCTTCTGAGGACACACGTCTAGCTGGGTTAAATAACTGGTACAGTGGCCTAGAAAAGTCTCAGCAGTGCCTGTGCTGGGAAAGAACCTCAGGAAGCTGCCAGCAGTGAGCACAGGGAGGGGCACCTAGCTACCAACAGCCTGCGTTAGGGCTCCAGAGCTTCTCCCATCACCTGCTTCTTCCAGAGCTGAGGGTGCTCTCGGGGAGAAAACAGGAATTCTGGGCTCAGTCAGAGCTGGGTTTTTCAGGCAGGGAGGTTGATTTCCAGGTTTTGCTATTCAGCTCTCTCAGCGTTTGAATCGAGGGGTAAAATGAAGAAATTTGGGGTTTTAGCGAGTCCAGCACCTGCTGGAGGGTCCCTCTGGTGAGTGAGCATTTGGGATGTCAATAAGTTACAGAACAAGGGGCGTTAGGGGAGCCTGGGGGAGCACAGGGGTCCCTGGCAGGAGGAACAAGGGAGATGCCTGGTCTCTAGCAAGCTTTGGCCACGAGCCACCCACCAACATCCTGGCCTGGGTCAAAGCCAGTGTCCAGCAGCAGGGCAGGGATCGTGCCTCTGGGTTCAGTGCTCGAGGAGCCACAGCTTGAGGGCTGGGGTCAGTTTTGGGTGTCACAGGAGAAGACATTGAGGGGCTGGAGCGTGGCCAGAGAAGGGCAACGAAGCTGCTGGGGAAGGGTCTAGAGACAAGTGTGGGGCGGGGGAGGAGCAGCTGAGGGAGCTGGGGGTGCTGAGCCTGGAGCAAAGGAGGCTCAGGGGAGACCTTCTGGCTCTGACACCCCCTGACAGGAGCCTGGAGCCAGGCTGGGCTTTTCTCCCAAGGAATATGGGACAGGACAAGAGGAAAGGGCCTCAGGTTGCCCCAGGGGAGGTTGAGGTTGTCCCTGAGGAACAATTTCTTGCCCTGGAGGGTTGCCCAGGGCTGTGCCAGGCTGCCCAGGGCAGTGGTGGAGTCCCCACCCCTGGAGGGGTTCAATACACATGTAGAAGCAGCACTTTGGGACAGGGTTTAGTGGTCCCAGTAGTGTTGAGTTGCTAGTTGGATGTGAAGATCTTTGAGGCCATTTCCATCCTCAGTGACTCTGTGGCCTCTCCAGACAGACATCAGGGAAGGGAAATCAGAGCTGACACACAATTAGAGTCAAGTGAGCCTGCAAGTGCTCCTGGAAGCCCAGGGAAAGCAAATGGAGATCAGGCAGAAGCTATTTCCAGGCAGAATTTGGGGCTGAAAGAAGCAGCAATTGGCCTTTGCTAGGAATGCAAACCCTCCCCAGCACCCCAAGTCAGTGTTTAACACTTCTGGCACCTGCCTGCTGTGATCCAGCTGGCAGCAAGGACAGGAAAAACAGACCCCAAACCCGATGAGAAGAGGTTTGCCTCGGTGAGCTGAGGGCTGAGGAGCTCTGCCTGCACAGGGAGGGCTCAGGATCCCCTGGGGCTGAAGCCAGGCCCCTGGGGAAGCCAGCCCAGGGCCAGCAGCCCGCTCTCCTTGGCTCCTCTGCAGCTGGTGCATCCACCAGGGGCCACTCGACTCACCACGCTGGGGCAGCAGGGGGGGAAAAAGGGCTCAGGGAAAGCAGGGAGCAGGAGTTGTGCTGGCTTAGCCAGCCAGGAGCTGCTGGGTATATTCTGAGAGGTGGTGCTGAGGCCTTTCTGCTGGCTGCCTTCTCCAGCTCTGTGAAACCCTGCAAGCAAAGGAAGAGGGGGTGAAGGGGGGAGCTGGGCCCCACAGACCCCGTGCTGCTGCAGAGCTCAGCCAGGGGAGAGTCACTGAGCATTAAGAGGCAGATGAAGCAGCCCTGGGTGCAGCGAGGCGTGTGCCCCTCACCCTACTCCATGAGGAAAGGAGCCTCTTCTTGGTATCTCAGGGCATTGGTAGGGTTTCTGGTGGCTGCTGTGGTGACCCTGCCTCATCCACACCATCAAAAGGTAACAACCAAGCCCACGCCCAACCCAGTTCCTCGTTGATCCACGGACAGAGTGCACAACTCTAGATTTCCCAGTGGTTTTTGTCTCAGAGGGTCCTCAGGTCTTTATGTAAAGCAGTGACTGCACCTGCCCTGGCCATGCTGCCTCCTCGCTGAGGAATGAGAGGGCTGCAAGCAGCAGGTCAGCTCAGGACACGAGGAGGAAACTCTTTCACTGCCTTCAGAGAGGACTCAACCTGCAGGGGATGTTCCTGTCCTCACTCCTGTCAGCTCCCCGCCCACCTCCCCGCTGTGAAGCTCACACAGCCTGTTCCTCACATGCTGGCCAGAGGGTCGCTCAGAGGGAGGGTTAAAGACTCTTCATCCAGCCAGCTCCAGGCTCTCACCCAGCCCCTCGTGCTGGCACTGAGGGGACACTCACCTAGAAGAGCTTCTCGTAGCACTTGTCACAGTGGACGATGTCCCGGTGGATGAAGATTTTATCCAGGAGATCTCCCATCGCTTTGTGGCAAATCCCACACTGCCAAAGGGACAACAAGAGTGGGTGGGACAGCAACCACAGCCCCCCCTGACAGCACGGAGGGGGCAGAGGAACCAGCAGCCTCTCTGTCAGGGCGTGAGGATGGTAGAGCAGTGACCCTGGAGGCTCAACTCCTCTCCAACAGCCACTGTGGGCATCCTCCTCCCTGGTTCCACAGGCATGTCAGCTCTGCAAGGTCTGGGAGACTGGGGCACAAAGGCCACGAGGACAGGGAGGTGAGGAGAGAGGCTGCTGCTGTTCTACCAGAAACCCATAAAGAATTCTCCTTGTCCCCCTTGGAGGAGCTGAAGGATTTTTGGGGCAGACAACCAACATCAGTGACTGGGTGACACTTTCTGGTCCCCGTGTGGACACGAGCATCTGGCCCACGCCGTGTCCACTGCTCTGAGAGTCTGAGGGTGGAATTTGCACCCGGGTTCCTCCTCCCAGCCCTCATTTCAGAGCAGCAGAGAGAGGGCAGCCAGCAGCTGAGCTGGGGTTCTTTACCCTAAAGCAGTACTCGTGGCAGCGGATGTTGAGATGCTCTATGATGATCTTGGGGCAGTCTCGGATCTCACGGCTGCAGTAGCTGCAAACAGGTTCACTGGGCCTGGGAAGGAACAGCAGATGAAGTCCTCTGTAGCACCAGCTGCTTCCAGCACTGGTGCTGGAGGTCTCTCACCCAACACCAGCACTGCTCTCCATGAGCTACCTGCTCCTGCATGTGCTCAGCTGTTTGAGGTGACAGCACAGGGGGCCGTGGTCATCCCAGGGCACAGAGACCCCAGCAGAGGGGCAGCACACAGCCCAGGGCCAGTCTCACTGTCTTTGACCACTGTTGGTCACCCTTTGTGCTGTTATTCCATTGAATCATGGAATGGTTTGGGTGGGAAGGGACGTTGAAAGCTCATCTCATCCAACCCCCCTGCCCTGAGCAGGGACATCTGCAGCTAGAGCAGGGTGCTCACAGCTTCATCCACCCTCCCCTGGGATGGTGCCAGGGATGGGGCAGTAGCTGGACTCCCACCTGGGCAGACGGTGCCAATGTCTCACCACCCTGAGGAAAAAATCTTCCTAATATCTAATCTAAACCTTTCCTGGTGCAACTTGAGCCCATTTCCTCTTGTCCTATTGCTAGTTACTTGGGACACTAGACCAGCACTCACCTCACTACAACCTCCTTTCAGGGAGCTGTGGAGTGCAGTAAGGTCTCCCCTCAGCCTTCTCTTCTCCTGGCTAAACAACCCCAGACACACACCAATATTCCAAAAAAAAGCAAAAGCTTGAAGTAATTTCTGGCTGAGTTTGCAGAAAGCCCCCAGGCAGCCCCGAGCTGTCCTACCTCTGCAGGGGAGCACTGGACAGGTAGCTGTGGTGGCCGTAGGTTGCTCTCTCCAAATCAGTCAAATCCACAAGGCTGCCACTGGGGAACAGAAGGAAATGTCAACCCTGGACAGTGACACGTGGGAAGAACATCTCAGATAGAATTGTTCTTCATTCACCTAAGTCCTAAGAGCAATGTCCCAGCTGCCTGCTCCTTGGAGAAGGGAGGCACCTCCAAGGGCAAGCAGAGATAGCAAAGACTTGGCAGCCCCAGCACCCAGCTTCAGAGTGCTGAAAAATGTGTCTGGCTGCTGCCGGGCCC